TTTTTTTTGTATAAGTAAGGGATGGTGTTAAACTATCTTGCTGAAATGGTAAAGATTTTGGATATTTGAAGAACTAACTAAATGAATAATTTTTATTAATACGGAGGAGATGGATTGCTTAAGTTTAGACTTTGGAGTTAGAGATATTAATATTTGTGTACTTGTATTTGAATATTAGCCTAGGTTGGTTTGGGAAGTCTGGGGGGTGGGGGGATGGGATATAACATTGTATAATATCTGTGATGTATTTCTTTTTTTTATGATAAAAACAATAAAAAATTTTATAGAGAAAAAAAAAAAAAAAAAAAGAAGTAAGCCTGACTGAGATGGCTTCAATCCTGTGAACCTTCAAATTTTCCTTCCCCTCTCATTAACATGTACAAGATCAAGCTATTTGTTATAATAATCCAGCAGGCTAAAGCATAACTAATACTGCTTATGCTGCAATGTGGATCTTAATAATATGCCATCGTGCCCTTCACAGTTCCACACTTGTCAGATCTGTAAAGGATTAGCAGAGGCTCTAAAGTTCTGCCATTTCAGAGACCTTTGAGGAATATTCATAACTGAATGACCACGTATAATCCCTGAGATTTATCTCTGAAACATTTTTAACAGCTTCTGCATGACTAACACAACCCATATGTACATTCACAGTACTTATCCTCAACAGAGAAAGAAGGCTCTGGCAGTCACACTCAATATCCTAATTACATGGTGGATATATGTTTATTTGGAAATAAGGCCAATTGATTGCTTAGAATTGTAGGTTTTCAGCCCATGCAATGTGTGTCTACTTAGAAAAACAGCCTGTTTATACTTTGTGGGGTTTTACTGTCAGATGAGCACAGTCTCAAAATGATTTGACTGTTCCTGTTTCTAATTATTTATCTGACTACAGATTGTATTGATAGTTGATTGAGTAATACTGACCGTATCTTAAAATAACAATGTAAAGCTCACACTGTATAGTGATAGGTTTATTGCTCATTTTTCTATTAATTTTCTGGGATAGTTTATGATCTGTAGGAAGCTGATGTAGTTTAGTATGTGTGCCCTGAGAAACTCCAACTGCAGATTTGTTCACTTGCATGTGAAATAATGTTGTACTTCACATATTATTGCATTCCAACTTGTCTGTAAATGGTGAGGGACAAAGACTGTTATTCAGCAACAATTAAAGAGCCTCCTCCTCTTGTTTCTGCTATTGTTCAGCCATTTCTGATTGTTGTGACTTGATGGATAACAATTTACCATTTATATTGTCTGTCAGTAACTGTTTTTTTGAGTTCATGTGAGTTCATGATCATGTCATCTGTGATAGTATCTTTGCACCTGCTCTTCTGTTGGCCTCTTTTTAAATTGTCTTTGATTTTCCTTGGATCAGGATTTTCTTCTTATTATATATCCAAATATTGAAGCTTTATTAGTGTTTCCAGTGAGTAGTCTGATTTTACTTTATCTTATATAGAATGATTTGTTGTCCTTATAGTCCAAGTTACTCTCAACATTTAATTCAAGGACCTCCATTTTCCTTTAGCTTTTCTGGTCCAGCTTTTCTGGTCCAGCTTCCATATCCATATGGCTAGAACTAGGAAACCATGACTTAGATCAGGGCTTTTCAACCAGTGATATGGGTACCACCTGTGGTACATTGGTACCTGGCAGGTGGTACAC